TACTAGGAACCTATTTCCTCAACTCTCAAGACTTTCTCTATTCGTCGATCCACAAATCGAATAACTTCAAAATTGCCTTGGAACTATTTGATCCTATTGTACACCTCTCTCGTCCACTGCTATGAAGCTCACCAAGCTCGTTGCTATCAGAAGCTCACCTCGCCCATCTTCACTTGAGGTTCCATCTTTATACTGTGAGGTGACGTCACAATTCTGAATGCGATCACTCCCCTCATTTACATACTTATTTGCTAACAATAAACTTTTTCTATTTGTCTGGCAGCCTATTTTTCCGACAATACTCGCTAATCTTTTACATTATTCTTTTTGACAATTTTTGGGATGTTTTTATTCTTTAAGGTTTAGCGAGTCCCTAAGTTGTGCTTGTGGGGTCTCCACCCCTTTTCTCGGTGTGGAACTACTTTTTTCCGCTCGGGAGCGTAAGTGTGCATGAGTTTTTTCTACGGCACTTTTCTCTCGTTGGTGAGTTGGTTTCTCTTCTATTTTTAAGATTCTAAGGTGAATGATGAGGAAAACCTTCGTCCTAACAAAACATAAGCCCCAAACAAAAATATAATAAAAAGCAAAAATAAAAGTAAATAAAAATAATGCTCAGACTCTGTTCCTTACAAAGTGAGTAGGCATTTAACTTATAACAAAAAATGATTTATATCATGCTTTTAACAAAAATGATATGAATCATTTTTTTGTTAAAAGAGCTAAATATAGGAGAAACTATATTATATTGTTAAATGGCATAGCATGGAAATATATAGTGAAGCTCCATTTCATTATCAGTTACTGCATATTATTGCCTTTACTTGATTAAAAGTAATAATTTGTAATATAAAATAAAGTTTTTTTTACAAAAAATATATATGTATACTATGAAATTATCTTATACACATGAACATATCTAAGTTATCTTAGATATTTATTCACTTTTCATTGTTTTAAATATAAAATGTTTATTGATAGATAGTAGAAATGTTTTTATACTGAAATTTTATTTTTTAGTGAACAAGAATTATTACATGAAGAAATTAAATCTTTACATGCTGTAAAGAACCGTTTAAAACAAAAAGTGAATGATCTGGAAGATGAAATTAAAAAATTAAAGGAAGAATTAGACAAGTCTAAAACTAATAAGTCTGATGATGAGGTTTGTTTTTAATACTACTTATCATAGAATTTTTAAAAGGGTAGTGTTTTAAAACAAATGTGTTATTTTTTATAATACAATTTGTTTAATTTTTACAACATAGTTTATAGGTATTTGTTATATTTTTTTAATTTAATTTTTAAAATTCTTTTCCCATGGAGAAGTTAAACCATTAACTCCTTTAATTTCTGTATGCACACTCTTGTTATTTATGAATATATATATTTTTTCAATACTTATAAGTGAATAGAACTTTAAAACTTCCAAGTCATTATACAAAAGATAACTTTAGAATTTAATAAAATAATTAAATATAATAAATACAAGATGTTCCAACAAATTGTATATACATTTTCATTGTTAATAGCTTCTATATTTATTTTCTTAATTTTAATTTAATACTTTTTAAAAATTTAGATTTTAATTTTATATTATAGTAATTAGTCTAAATTAGAAATTCAGAAAATGAAGATAAAGTTATCAATACTTGAAGTGTCCATACAATTTTTTGGGACAGCCCATATAATTTAGTATACTTTTTAATGATGTATGAAGGACATAAACATCCCATTATCATATTAACATATTCAATTCAAAATATTTATAATTTATAATTATGTAATTATTTATTCACTTTAAAACGGTTTAATTTTATTTTTCGATATTTTTAATAATTATAATTTCATACATACAATAATTAATTTTTTATTTTTAATGATAAAAGCAATGATAATTATTTTTATTTAAAAAAATATAGGAGGATGTTCCTTTAGCACAAAGGAAGCGTTTTACTAGAGTCGAAATGGCTAGAGTATTGATGGAGAGAAATCAATATAAAGAAAGACTCATGGAATTACAGGAAGCAGTTCGTTGGACAGAATTGATAAGGGCATGCAAAAATAATCCGGAATTAGAATCAAAGAAAAGTCGATCATCAATCTGGAAAATGTATCTAAACAAGTTACATTAAGATTTAACCTATATTATATTAGTTATGAAGATAAATTATCTTCTTTTATTTCTTTATATTTCTTTGTGAAATATTTGTAATACATTAATACAGTAAAACCTTACTTATGAGTCCACCTTTAGGATATACAGTTTCTGGCCATATTGAATGAGGTGGTCATTAATATGGATTTGATTTATATTAAGACTTATGTAGTTTAACATGAGTATCATGGATAACCATGATGCAAGGTTTTACTACATATAGTTAGTAAACTTATATTTGTAATATATTAAGCAGTTAATATTGAAATTACTTGCTAAAGATAAAAAAAACTAATTGAGGTATAAAATATACCATATTTAAATTTACTATATTCAAATGTAGTTTAGAACAAGTCAGTTTTTAGCCAGACCTGTATATTTTGCAATTTATTTGCAAATGTTTGAGAAATTCTGTAAATTGTGTTTCCTTGATTTGCTATTATTGTTAGTAGTAACTTGTTACAATTATTTTTTAAATAACAGAAAAAAATTGATTTATTTTGATTTGATCCTATTGTACACCTCTCTCGTCCACTGCTATGAAGCTCACCAAGCTCGTTGCTATCAGAAGCTCACCTCGCCCATCTTCACTTGAGGTTCCATCTTTATACTGTGAGGTGACGTCACAATTCTGAATGCGATCACTCCCCTCATTTACATACTTATTTGCTAACAATAAACTTTTTCTATTTGTCTGGCAGCCTATTTTTCCGACAATACTCGCTAATCTTTTACATTATTCTTTTTGACAATTTTTGGGATGTTTTTATTCTTTAAGGTTTAGCGAGTCCCTAAGTTGTGCTTGTGGGGTCTCCACCCCTTTTCTCGGTGTGGAACTACTTTTTTCCGCTCGGGAGCGTAAGTGTGCATGAGTTTTTTCTACGGCACTTTTCTCTCGTTGGTGAGTTGGTTTCTCTTCTATTTTTAAGATTCTAAGGTGAATGATGAGGAAAACCTTCGTCCTAACAAAACATAAGCCCCAAACAAAAATATAATAAAAAGCAAAAATAAAAGTAAATAAAAATAATGCTCAGACTCTGTTCCTTACAAAGTGAGTAGGCATTTAACTTATAACAAAAAATGATTTATATCATGCTTTTAACAAAAATGATATGAATCATTTTTTTGTTAAAAGAGCTAAATATAGGAGAAACTATATTATATTGTTAAATGGCATAGCATGGAAATATATAGTGAAGCTCCATTTCATTATCAGTTACTGCATATTATTGCCTTTACTTGATTAAAAGTAATAATTTGTAATATAAAATAAAGTTTTTTTTACAAAAAATATATATGTATACTATGAAATTATCTTATACACATGAACATATCTAAGTTATCTTAGATATTTATTCACTTTTCATTGTTTTAAATATAAAATGTTTATTGATAGATAGTAGAAATGTTTTTATACTGAAATTTTATTTTTTAGTGAACAAGAATTATTACATGAAGAAATTAAATCTTTACATGCTGTAAAGAACCGTTTAAAACAAAAAGTGAATGATCTGGAAGATGAAATTAAAAAATTAAAGGAAGAATTAGACAAGTCTAAAACTAATAAGTCTGATGATGAGGTTTGTTTTTAATACTACTTATCATAGAATTTTTAAAAGGGTAGTGTTTTAAAACAAATGTGTTATTTTTTATAATACAATTTGTTTAATTTTTACAACATAGTTTATAGGTATTTGTTATATTTTTTTAATTTAATTTTTAAAATTCTTTTCCCATGGAGAAGTTAAACCATTAACTCCTTTAATTTCTGTATGCACACTCTTGTTATNATTTAATTAAGAGATGGCGCCTAACGCCTACCTCTAATGTCAAATTACTTAGTTCCAATCATTTATAATAGCCATATTATAGCCCGATAAATTAGGCGATCGTTTGGTGTTGGTATATTAGAAATTAGAAGTCATTACTCTAAGTTGTGAAATCTTAGGGTCTGTTCAGAAATGCTTACTATTAGTTGGTTGGTAACAGTGAATGATATCATTGGTATTTTGTAGGTCACTTTCTGATCCATTCTTAAAGATTGGTGAGTCTGTTAGCAACCAGTAAATCACCTGAAACTATAAAGTTTCAGATGATTTACCTAATCTCAGTTGTTGAAATGATAAGCATTTCTGACAGATCCCTATATTGAAAATATTCAGAATAATAAAAATTTTCATGCATTCATCAGATCAAAAACTTTAATTTAATTGTTATATTTTCTTATTCATGACATAATAAGTCGCAATCCCAGATTACAGACACTAAAAATTTTTAATAAAAATTAATTATTTTATTCTTATGCACAATTAACAAAATTCATAAATAATGACATGAAATGATATTCTTAATTTAGACAAAAAAAAAAAAAATATTCCAAAGAATCTCTTAAGGATTTTACAAACAATTATTAATTAATAATGTAATTCTACAGAAAGCATATAAACAATATATAAATATTGATATTTATATTAGACTACATCAGTATGAAAGAGAAACAAAAAAAAGAGGAAAAGTAAAACTGTATCAATTAAATGGTTCATGTACACTTTAAAATTAATTGATATGAAATATTCCTATTAGTAATAACATTTTTACATCAAATTATGACAGCATGGAAACTAATAATATTAAATATACATATATGTGCTGGTGATGGCCTAAGTCATTTTTCATTTGGTGATATATTTTTTAAATTTTTACAAATAAAATAATTATGATTTATTTTGTACTTTAAATATGCAAATATTTATTGATTATGAATAAAGACATAGGAGATTTTTTGCCATAGTGACAAAAAAACTTAAGTTGTTTCAGTTTCTATATATTCTTTTCAAAATTATATATCAATATAGATTCTTCCAAATCAAAACAAAAATACAGATAAAACACAGATATCACAGAAAATTTATTGAATGATTGACTTTCATTCAAAAGGAAGTTTTAAATTTAAGAAATTTTCATAGAAAATTAAAAAAAATACTGTAAAAGTATTTCTAAGTCAAACACCAAAAATAACAGATTTGTATTAGAAGATCATACAGGAGCCTCTTAGCTTTTAGGACAAAATCATAACAGTATGTATGTTTGTATATGTCATAACAGGTTTGAAAAAATATACTTGGAAAACTGCTAAAAGTTCATTAATATGCATTTGATAAAGAAATATCATGTTCCTAGTTATGTGTAGAGGTTTTTTTCTTCAGACAAAATTAATGCAAATTAACCTCATTAATATAAGAAATTTAAAAAGTTTATTAAGAATTGAATAATTACTTATGTCTGATGAATACTATGTTGAACAATAATCTGTTACTCAAAATGAAAAGTTCATATCCAAAATGAAAAGTTCATATCCAAATTATATTTTTGTTTTATTTGAGAATACTGTAATTATATTTGATATGTTTTAATATAACCTTATCAGAATATATTCAAAACTTCTGTAATTAAAATGATATTTACTCAATAGAAAAGATTTAAATAAAATAGGAATAAATACAGAAATATAAATTATCTAATATATTATAAATGAATTATTTTTTCACTCAATAATATGTAATGAATATGATGAATACACTATATTCATTCATTATGTTTAATATATTTATTGTATATTTTCAGTTTATATTAATAGATTAGTCATCAAATTTACTTTATAATAAATAAATATCTATAATTTAATTTATAATCAAAACTAAAAGATGATTAAAACTTTTTTACATTTTTAATTTCTTCTGTAGATTTAGCAATTTATTTAGTTCTTCAGAAAAGCCTCAAAGAAATCCTTCTGTGCCTTATGTAAATGTCCATTATAATGCTCCTACATCTTACTTGAGTCCAACTTTAGATAACATGCGCAAGAAAAGACTAGGAGATAAAAATAAAGGCTTAGATTTTATGGACAGTGAGCTGTAAGACATTTATTTATTTAAATAAATTGTGTTTATTTTTAAGGAATATTATTTAAACTATAATTTAATATAATCTTAGTTTATTTAAAGGCTAATATAATTTTATTCATCAAGATGTTTTTAATATTTATTTGCATTTTCTATTCTATTCACACAATATTATTAATATCATGATTATTGTCCAACTTCTCTTTGTCTACATGTTTATTTACAAACGACATATAAACATTAGATATCTTAGTTATCATTTCATTATTAATCAGCTTTATGTTAAATAATGCAATTATTTTAATCTGTTCATCTGCTGTTTTCACATATATTTGGCTAAAGTTTGATGTTTCTGAAATATTTTTCATTTGAAGCTTTATTTTTTCTTTATCTATCCTTTTTCTTAAATTCTTCTTAAACTTTTTCTTTTTTCATTTTTCTCAATCTAAACTTTTGAAACCACTTTAACTTTTCTTTCATTTAGGATCCATGACCATAAATATCTTGAATGCTTTTTGTTGATTCTGCTGCATTATTTTCTTTTTAAACTCATTGAATATTATATGATTAATGTGTTTTTCATTCATGTTCATTTTCATGAGAGTTTATCAATTACTAATCCTAAAAAGTGAAGTTGTATTAGCAGTTACAAGCATAGAAGTTGTATTAATTTACTTTACCTGTATAAATATGTTTATACAATTTGTTGAAAGTTTAATCATTATTTTTGAAGACAATAATGATGCCATTTTTACACTACAATTTTGGACATTACATATGATCTGATAATTTCATATTGAGAACCATAGCAGAACCTAACAGTCTTGGATGTGAATTGTGTAAGGTTGCCGACTTTTAGGGACAATAAGTTAATTGCGCATCAGGAAAACCTAGGGGCAAATCATATGTGGGTGGTGGTGGCAGGAGACAAAGATGACAAGTGTCTTACAAAAACTGTTTATTTTTGTCATAAAATTAACTTACATAATAATGACACAGAAAATAGATCTTTCTCTGGGGAGTTCCCGATGTTGGTGGACAGTGGACGGGTGAAGACTGGTGTTCGACGTTGCATGTCCCAGGCTTGACAAAAGAGTGTCCATTGCACAGGCGGTGACTCTGACGGATGATGATGTGGATGGACTGAGATCTTGAGCCACTGGCGGAAATACTTGTCTGGAGGAGAACTGGCTTGTTGTCCTTGAGATTTGGGGTTTTATAGGATTTTCCCCAAATATCATCCTTTTGATTGGTCTCATTCACCCTCTCCCTTACCCCGATTAGTCATTCTTTTGTCTCTAGGCGAAACCCGAGATAATCCGGGTCGGGAAAAGCTCGGAGAGGTGATAATGGAGCTTTTAAAGTCCACGATCATATTTTACTCCATTATGGTCCTTTTCTCTGACATCTTTGAACCTAACTGGTCCACCAGATGTTCTTGTGGCCATTTACTCCCTAACGCGTTCTGGCTTAAAAGATGTCTCTTTAGTCATTAAGCCCCCCCCCTTTTCTCGATTGTTTCAACTCGACACTTGTTCGCAAGCATCTCGACAAAGCTCTCTCTCTCTCTCTGTCGGCATTTCCCCCTGCCGTTTATCATTGTGTTGCATTTGTTTTACAATAAGTAAGAAAGTTTTCTTTCTGTCTGGGTTTTGTCACCAACATACCCTCTTGACCCGATTTGATCTTTGAAACTCTTCGACTTAGGAGTTTCATAATTAGTCGAAATTTCGATGCACTTTTATGACCCTCACAAATTGCATAAACAATCATTATTTATGCATACTGGCATAGGGTTATTAATATGATAAGAAGACTATGGGTTCTAAATATTCTATCAATAGATGTTATTTGGAATCAAAAAGTTGACAACTGTGTAGTAAGAAATTCTGTTTTAGAACAACATAGGAATTACACATTTGTATAAATAAAATTATGCCATTATATTCTTGGGCACCTAGAAAGAAACTTTAGGCCATATAAAAATGATGTTCCAATTTATATGAAGTATATTTGATGATAAATCTTAAAAAAATAATGATTTTTTTTCCTCAAATTTCTGTTCATATTATCAGGATTACCTTAATATTTTTAATTTGTCAGATCTTATGACAATTATTAAATAAAAAGTTTCAGGTAAAATTTTCTGTGAAGAAGTTAAGTTGATTGGAAGGAATGCTACTGTTATGGATTCTCACCTTAAAATCTCTTTCATCTTGTATACCAATGCCTCTCAATGATTGATAAAAATCTGATTGGTGATAATGGAAAAGAAAAACTTATTGTTTTTTGCTAGCAACAAGCTCAAATTTTAAAACTAATTGAAGGGGTGGATGGAAAATTAGTATAAGATACAATTTTCCATAATTAAACATTTTCTTTAAAAATACAAAAAAGGATTAATTTAAAAAATAAAAAGATAATAAAGTCAGTAATTTGTAAGTAAATATATCTATTCGTTTATTTAATAAAGCAAAATCTTACTTTGCTATGGGTTATGTTAAATTTTATCACTAATATATTTTTTATACTTTTTGTTATTTGTATTGCTTTCCACTGAATCCCTCAATTGGCTATGACATGCTATGTTTAGGGTATTAGCTAAATTCTGCAGTTAGATCTTTAGTTGAAATTTTAGATAATGACAGCTTAATGATCCATTTAGATGTTACTAAGATTCATTTGGCTAGTGATGTTAGTTTCTTTCTCTTCAGTCTTTCTACCAGACTTCTTGACTTCATGTGCAGTGCTTAGCTTAAATTCTACTTAGTTCTCATATTTTCTCTGCTATCTTGAATTTTAATGTCTCCCCTTTCCTGATCTTGCTTCAACCTTTTTTCCTTCTGTTAGTTGAGATTATAGGTGGTTAAAGATCATCTGCATTCAAATCAGGCCATATGTACTGGCAATAATTTTCTTCCCTGAAACAAACTGTTGCATTACCATTGTTCTCACACATCTAGTGACATATGCTGAAACATGCTAATTTCCTACATAATATTTAACTTCAATAACCCATAAAAGTACCACATTTTTTCACATTGTAGCTTCACATTACAAAATTTGTGTAAAATAATGCATAAATCAGATCATAAACCAATGCTAATATTCTGTCTGGTCTGGAATTCAAAACTTTCAAAAATTTATTCAAAGAATAAAATAATTATAGAAGTAAATAATGTTTTACTAACTATTCATATTAAAATATATATGTAAACTATTTCGCTAAAAAAATTATTTATTAAAATGTTTGTTAAAATAAGCATTGTAAATTTTTAATTTATTTTAAGAGCATCTGAAAGATTACAACAACAACGAGCCAAAGAAAGAAAGGAACGATATAAGCAAGTAAGAGCTCACGTTAGAAAAGATGATGGTCGGGTTCAAGCATATGGTTGGAGTCTTCCTACACAGTCAGCAGGAGTTTCTAAAGTTAATAAAGAAGAAGAAAAATCATCTCCTACGATTCCACTTTGTGTTCCAGTTCCTGTATATTGTAGACCTCTTCTAGAAAAAGAAACTGGAATGAAGGTAAAAATTTAAGAAATGGTTTATAAAATTTTTATACTGAAATTTAATATAACTGTAACAGAATGATTATTTTGGCTTAATAATGAAATAAATATAAAACATTTTTTTTGTAACATTTTAATTCTTTGAAATTCTTTTTATAGATATTTTCCAAACAAATTTCATATACATTTAAATATTAAAATTTTAATATGTGTAGAATTTATAAATGACTTTCAGTATATTGATAACATTTGTTCAAATTGCTCAAATTTTATCATTTGAACAAATGCAAGGTCTGTTTCAGCTTTGTTCTGCACTTGGTCACTGAGGAACAAAAACAGGCACACATTTATCATGCCCAGGACATCTTCAAAATAGCTCACTGCAGCCCAAATATTTTTAAAAACATTGACATGGTGCTCCCAGTACAATCTATTGAGAAAATAGAGAGGTTGCAGCCAATGTTTTCAGCCCAAAATGTGGATGTCAAGTGCCACCATCTGGCAATTCTAGAAGGTTGGCAATGGCATTTGCTACGTCTAGCATGGCAAGTAGAAGTTCAGCTTAAACTTCTTCATTTTTTTGTGTTTGGGTTTAAAATTATGTCATATTTTATTAAAATAATGATTATTTAAGCATTTATGAATAATAATGTAAAGAAACAGACTATTTTAATCCAGAAATTATTTAATTATTTAATTTTTTAGCAAGTGATGCGAAGTGCCTATAGAATTTACATTTTTTTGTGTTTGGGGTTAAAATTATGACATATTTTATTAAAATAATGATTATTTAAGCATTTACGAATAATAATGTAAAGAAACAGACTATTTTAATCCAGAAATTATTTAATTATTCAATTTTTTAGCAAGTGATGCGAAGTGCCTATAGAATTTACATATAGATTTGTTCTTCTACCATCAACAGCATAATACGTTTGTAAACTTTCTAAAAATTAACCAATTAGTGTTATTAAACATCCTATAAATACTTTAAAATAGTTTGTTTATTTACCTTCACCTTATTTACCTGGTAACCCTCCATGTTCAATGTATCCGCCATTTTTTCAAAAAATTTATCGTGAGTCAATGTGCGACGTTCACTGAGTCACGTGATGATGTAAACGTGCGCTGCAACGATTTTTTCTTGGATTTAAAACGTAAACCGTGTGTGTACAAATAACGTTTGAACTTGCGCCGCAATCTCTCTATTGTATGGGGAACAGTGGCGTGCCGTCCTTGGAAGCGGTGGAAGTGCCACTTCCCTTGTATTTTCTAAAATATAAAGACATATTGTGCGATTATTTTCATATTTTAATGTACTTTGAATTAATTAAAATTAATATTTTATTATAACCGCATTATGTATCTTATTACTAATTTCTATACTACGTGTGAAAAAAACTATAAGATTGCTATTGTATATTCGAATATCAGTGGCGGAATGGAAGAGCTATATTGTCAGCTTACAAACAGCCAGATTATACGCATGTGCTTTACAGAGCACCAACCTCACATGGTTTAGCTGCACACCATAACGCTTCCAATGATTCTATCCGGGACAGGTTCTGGGCTGTTAGCCGCCTGCCTGCTAGATATTTGGCTGCCCTCGCCCCATTATGTGAATCTCAAGTAGATTTATAACTTAACTCAACCGATAGGAATTTACTGGTCCATACAGTTTTTATGATAGTTCTGTATAGTTGACAGGAGTTTAAAAAATCCATTAAAATATTTGATATTTTTATTCCACTCTCCCATCTTATATTACTTACGGATTTCAATGTTAAACTAGAGTGATATTACGATTTAGTATGTCTCATCTATAAAGGGATGCAGAAAAAATGTGTACAATTCTTGTACAATGTTAAAAAATTAATTGTTACTTTAGCAGCATCTTTTACAACTAAATTTAATGAATGAGACAGATGCAAAAAAATCTCTAGAATTTATTTTCCTTAAATTTACGATTGATGTATCCATTGTTGTAAAAATTTGTCTTTCCACTTCTTTCCTGAGACAACAAATATTCGAGTACAAAGTACAGTGGTGCCTCGTATAACGTATGCTTCGAATAACGGACGCTGCGAACAACGGACTTTCTGTTTGGCTGTTACCTGACTTGAGCAACGGACTGATTACGAACAACGGACTTTCCGTTCGGCAGTTATGTGAGGTGAACAACGGTCTTTCTGTGAACAAGTGCGTATGATGTTTCCACTCTTTTGCCATTGCCAATGACAATTTGCTATTTTTATAATATATTAGTATACAGTAATTAAAATATATTATTAGTATATATGAAGTACAGAGCTTCCTTTGGGTTTTGGCTTGCTCCCTTGTTTATTATGTACAGTACATCACCTCAGTGCAGGATATTTACATTTATTCAAGTGTTGTGCAAATCATGGCTTCTAAAAAAACAGAAAGGTGATTTCAATTGAAACAAAGCAAGACATCATCAGAAAGAGTGAAAGTTGACAAAAACTTCCTTGTCAAATGGGGAGAGGTTAAAGAGTTTATCAACACTCATTAACCAAACAGAGCTGAGGCCAACAGGATCAATGATCTCTACAATGACACCCTTGCCCGACAGATGTAAAAAAAGAAAGAGAAACAGACCACCTTGGACATGTTTTTCAAGAAGCAAGCTGCCAAAAAACAAAGGATGGAACAAGAGGAGATGACCCTGCAAGCTCCGGTAGCCTCTCCTGATTCTGACTCCGATTAAAAAACAATAAAAAGAGACCTGCTGCAATGTGTAAAAAGTCT